ACAGTTAGAAGGTTGAACTGACTACTTCCATCAATGGCTTCTACTACTAGTCCGTTGACTCTTCTTCCACTACAGGTGGATTGTCCGCTGCATGAAAACAGAGTATATGATTCTGCATCACTCCGGATCTTGAAGAAGTCAAATAGTTCGGATCTGGCTAATGTTCGATTACTCTGTTCATCGATGATTGCATTCACCTGATAGCATTCTCCTTGTTATCCTGATGATAAATACGTACAGGAAGGACCTTTGCGCATGATCGACCACTGAAAGTAGTTCTGCAAAGTTCAGTACACTTATTGGAGACATGTGTTTTCATCTGCGTTTTCTCCCCGCCGTAAACAAATCCTTTGTTTACTCCAGACTGTTCCTTCTCTCCTTCGCCAGCAGGTCTGGGATCAAACTTTCTTTGTTCTGTGTGCAATGCTGTTGCATGGCGATTGCTTCCACAAAGTTCACATTTAATGCTGACTTTACAGTGTCTTGACAAATGTTTGGATTCACAGCACTTATAACAGAAATCCTTTTCCCGGAGAAAATCTTTCCTTTCTTGTAACGGCATGGCTAGGAATGTTCTACAGTGGTTCAGTGAATGAGATGCTTTGTGTATAGGACATCTTGGAGACAGTTCTTGTCTATCTTGCTTATTTCTGTCATCATCAACTGTGAGGTCGGTTTTCCTATTGTGAACACTTAATGGTCGCTTCGGTTCATAAGGTCTTTTATCCACTGTTCCTGATGTAGTTCCGTCATGATGGAAAGCTGGGTCATTCTTCACAATGCTGAGTTCCCGTATGAAATTCACTAGGAAACTGAATGGCGGAAACGGAACACTGTGGTATTTCTTATACTTGGAAGCTTGCGATACCCACTTATCTTGTAGACTTTGCGGCAACTTGCTGATGATGGGAATAATACCAGACGATGAGTCGTAGTATGACAGGAGTGTAGCATACTGAGCATTCTCCTTTGCTGATTCTATCTCTGTTAGGATGTCTAGCAGATCGTAAAGCATTTTTGGTTCCTTCATGTTTATTTTAGGAAATTTGTTGAGTTTGTTCTTCAAGGCAGCTTCTATCATTTCTGGTCTACCATAACGCTCTTCGAGTCGTTCCCAAATTCGATAGAGTCCTTTGGGTGGATCATCGATGTTCGAACCTCTAATGCTACTTGCGAATTTCTTCGATTCTGGTCCTAACTGCTTGATCAAAAAATCCATTTCTTCAAATGCGGAAATATTCAATTCTTTCACTATACTTGTGAAGCTTGCCTTCCATATTTGGTAACAATCTGGTTTATCATTGAACGGACTGAACCGTGACATCAGGAGATCTTTCTTTAGAAGAAATTGTGTCAAGTTGGCAGTCGCTCCGATATGTGAATATGGATAGAATTCCTGAGCTGCTGGATTCAGGTTGAAGTTATTGGCATTAGGAGCGGCAGGTTCAACTGGTGTCTTCACATTGGTTTGTGATAAAGTGTCTCTAGCATCTTTGTTATCCTCATTGTCCAAGTAATCCTTTTTATGCAGTTGTTCAAAGGACACATAATCACTCTTTGCTTCACTAAACTTTGAATGTTCACTAACATAGTTTTCTGCGTATTCTCGTTTAACTGCACGTAAGGAATCATTACTGTCTAAGGGATGTCGTTCCGGTAATGAAGGTATCTGAGATCCTTGATCCTCAATGTCATCTATTTCCGCTTTCAATGAATCTACATTCTTCTGACATTCTAAGAGTCTAATTTTGGCTTCAAGTAAGGCTTTCTGCTTCTGGAGCTCTGTTTCCTTTTCAGCATATTGGAGTTTCTTTAACTGTGTCATAGTATCCTGCTGTGTTTTCTTAGATGCTGAGGAACGACGACTGCTGCTTGAGATGGAGACTTCAGATCTTGTTTCAAATTTTTCAGAAAATATTTCAGCAGCATATATTAGCAAGTCTTGAATCTGATGATCAAAATTGTTTATAAGACTCATACATTTCCGGTGTCGAATCATCTGGTTGTCCATTTCTGAATCAGCTTCATCTGTACGAGAGCGTCTGAGAAAAGAAATGAGGGTCTCATAACTTTCCATGTATTCAGATTTGCTCTCCTCGAATTTCTCTTTAATTTTCCTTAGGTACTTTATATCTGAGCAGGAGTCATCAAATTCCGTCAAGATTGCTACAAAAACTCTCCAGACTTTCTTGAGGGCGCTCAAGTAGGACTGCAAGTTGGCTTTGTACAACTCGTGGCCCCCTGGAATTAACGTGCATATTCTTCCTTCAATTTCTGACATCGCTGTACACTTTCTTTACTATTCTGCCTGTATATTGCAGATAGTTAACCACACAATTTTGCAATCCACTGCATTGATTTTTATTGTGATAACGGTAAAGAACTGAAACAAAACAAAAACAAAGAATTACTCATCAGTTACATGATAAATAATGTCAATTTATAACTATAGATGTAGCATAAACTGTGTAATAAGTTGTAAATAAAAAATATTCAAAGATAAATAGAAAAAGATTCACTATCAGTTTCAAAATATAAAGTTTTGACACAAATGGGTTTCCATAGAAAAATGTTATGAACGTACTTCAGTTTTAAGTATAAAGATTATGACAACAACAGTGTTCCATACTTTCCAGAGTTAACAATAGATATTCCTAATAAACAAATTACAAACATTTCATACAAAAACACTGTAGATATAATAAGTATACGCGTAATAAACAAAAATAGCACAGGTTTACTTACAGTGTGTGGCAGCTTAAGTCAAAAAATGAAGAAATCTAGCAAGGGTCTCCATGTGTGGGTCACACAGGAAATAAAGACAGGAAGTGAGGATTTTAGGAAAAGTAACTCCAAAATTTACAAGTAAAAAGATAACTCTTGAAATTATGACAGATAACTATCAGATTAAGAGAGATAACTCTAGCTCTGAAATAGATACAAATGATAAAGGAAAATTATAAACATATAAATTAAATGTTCATAAACATTACAAGTCTCATTTGGGCCCCCGGAGGAGAAAAAAAGATTTACAAACAAAAGAAGGAGGGGGGTTTAAATGAAAGAACAAACATGATCTCACATAATGAGAGCAATTGATCAAAACGTATATAAGAGATATACTGAATATACATCCATGTATTGTATATATGTTACAATAATATAGTCAAAAGCAGGTTTATGCATATCAAAATAATTTCAATTTAGGTAGTTTACTAAGGGATCTAGCAAGTGATCTAAGGATGTCAGGGTCTTCATTAGTCATGAGCCCATAAAATTGATTATCATAAGATAGAGACTGAATTTTTTTTTTTTTACATCCATTGGTCCATTGATGGTATGATTGTTGAATACGTATGTAACAATATTGCTTTTATTATTAAATTATTAAAAGGACTTGTATCTGGTTTTATAACTGATAAATAAATGTAATATATTCCATGTACTCTGTCATATATGTAGTAGACTTTTGTGAGAAGCGCAGACTTAATTAAACAGTCAACGGCTTACGTTGACATTTAAACTGCATTATGTATACTTTCTTACTTACTTAGGTCTGTCCTTTTGCGAAAACATAGAAATCGACGACAGTCCTTCAACGAACTCAATTCTGAGATGCTTTAGCTGCATCCTGTCAAGTCATATCCTGTGTCTTTATCTCTGACTCCAAGTCACGCTTCCAGGTGATTCTAGGACATCCTCTCTTTCTTTTGCCCTGTGGGTTCCAAGTCAGGGCCTTCCATGTAATGCTAGATGGGAACTTCTTTAACGTGTGTCCAACTCAGCCCCAATTCCTCTGTCTTATTTGTACCTCCATTGGTTCCTGACCTGCTCTCTTCCATATTTCTTCGTTTGGGATCCTTTAAAGGCCATCAAATGTTGAAGATGCGCCTGAGACAGGTGTTGTGAAATGTCAGGATCTTCTGCAGGATTGCTTTGTTCAACCTCCACGTCTCTGCACCAAGCAATAGGACGGACTTTACATTAGAGTTGAGGATCTGCAGTTTGGTGGTAATACATGTACGTATGTTCTCTGAGGCCCAGATGTTCTTTACCGTGGTAAACACAGTTCTTGTCTTGCCAATTCTTGACTTGATGTCCCAGTCTGTGTCACCCTGTCTATCCAACACACTCCCCAGGTAGATGAAGGACTCAACACCTTTGATGAGGTCACCACCAACTGTGACTTGTGTTTGAACATAAGTTTTTATCTTCATCTATTCTGTTTTCTTCAAATTGATTTTAAGGCCTGTTCCTCTCAATGTTGTTGCAAGGCGACTTGTTTTATTTCACATCTGACTGTGGTTGTATGAAAGGAGAGCCAAGTCATCTGTAAAATCAAGATCGTCAAGCTGTGTCAGGAGTGTCCACTTCATACCATTGTTCCTGCTTGACGTGGTAGTCCTCATGATCCAATTAAGGCCCAAAAAAATAATCAGCAGTTTCTCAGGCACCGCCGCATCAGTTCAAAAACGGCCGCATTGATCAATTTTATTAATATATTGAAAAGGGAAATAACTCAATTTACTATTTTTCCAAGTTGAGAAAAAAAATCAAGTTATTCCCCTTTTCATAAATGCTAAGATAGACGTTTTTATTAGAAAACTATACATTTTTTCTTAATTTTCAGTATTTTATTAATCAACTTTTAAATAAATGTTTTGAGTAACAATATTTACAGTTAAATACATAATACAAACAATTTCAGAGAACAAAAATTAAGAATTGGTAGTTATTATGATTTTATTGAAAAAATGGCTTTAAAAAGGTGTTAAATCTGCTTTAAAAAAAGCCTGCCTGCATGCCGCATTGAATTCTGAATTTTTTGGCCTGAAAAACTATTGATTAATTTTTATGGCCTAATGACCAAGAGAAAAAGGAATGGTGACATCAAACATCCTGGTTTTGATCTCGATACTCTCAGACATCTGGTCAGCATGAGCAACCCTGCATATCATGCCTTTGTAGGTTTTCGAATCAGGGAAACTAGCTTCTCTGGCCCCGCCGTCACCAACATCCCTCAACTCAACACTCAGCCTCAACTCTGAGGTTTTCCCTCAAATATCTCACCTCACCCTCAAGTCACCGTCACCAAAAAAAATTGAGGGATTTTCCTGAGGAAATCCTCAAATATTTAAGGATAGCTTCATAGCAACCTTAAAAATTTCCTCAAGCAAATTTAACATGGCTGGCAGACGTCGTAGACGACGTAGGTTTCGGAGATATCGCAATCGACCGTCAAAAAGGGTGATACGAGATCGACTGAACCCCTTAGAAGCCTACACAGACGATGAACTTTTTGACCGCTATCGATTTAGACAGGCTTCAGTCGTGTATTTACTGGACTTGATAGGTGGGACTTTGATAGATAGTACAAAAAACAATGCCTTACCTCCGCTCTTACAGCTCTTCGTGTGTCTGAGGTTCTTTGCGACAGGAGCCTATCATAAACTGATAGGTGATAGCATGAATGTGTCTGAGTCAACTGTCGGTAGATGCTGTAGATCAGTCACTAATGCCATCCTTACTGTAAGACAACAATTCATTGTTTTCCCTAGAGACGAACAAGCACGGAAAACGAAGCAAGAGTTCATCAAAATTGCCGGTATGTTGTTCGTCGTTTTGTTTTCTTTTCTACTTTCTCTTTCAAAACTTACATGTAGGAAGGATAACTCGTTCTTTTCGATTTCGTGCATGTACAGGGTGTTTCAGGTAACGGGATGTTTCGCGCCTATGCATGGTTCGCACCGCGATGTTTCGCGCCAATTCAGTTTCGCGCTGAGATGGTTCGCCCCGCGATGTTTCGCTCCCAGAACATAAAATGTATGCTTTTTATTTCGTTCATTTTGAAAAAGAATTAAAAAAAATAAATTATAATATCTGTGAATATTGATGTAAGTATCGAAATTTTGTAGAATATTAGTTTATATTTTAATTGTAGAAGTTTATTTTAAGTACTAAGTCTAATTGTATATTATTTTTACACTCTGATAATTATGTTTATAGTAGTTACTTTAGCATACCGCCATCTAATTAAGTAATTCTGTAATCATTGCCGGCTTGGGGAACCTATCAACGTAAATTTGCTGGCTTGGAGAATCAAAATTTGGAGACTTAACATTATTTCAAATAAAAATAAATTTTAAAAAAATCTTATTTCATGTAAAATTCATTGTAACTTCAATTTTGAATATTTAAGAATATATTTACTTCAGATCTGTGTCTATGCACCTATAAAAATAAAAAGTTGGTGATCTACCGGTAGATTGTATAAATCAAATATCCCTTCTGCATAAGCAAAAAATCTTTCAAATTTTATTTTAGCATTTCTATGTTACTACATGTGCGCAAAGTTTGTCTGCCCCCTTTTTTTGTCCATGTATATTTTAATAGTTTCCCACAAAATACTTTAATTTCGGTTTTAAAATTATAGAGCCTGATCTCATGAATTTTGAAACATATTGACATGAAAGTACAATATTTTATAGATTTATAATAATAATTATAATATTATAAAGTCATGATTTTGAGCATACAACACATATTTATATCTATGATTAAATAAAGATCTTAATTTATTACAAAATAAATGAAATATTAAAAAAAGAGGGGGAGATGTTTCGCACCGAAATCGGCGCGAATCATCCCGGCGCGAACAATCTCAGTGCGAAACAGAATCGGCGCGAAACATCCCGGATTCGTGTTTCACAATATATGTCACACATCTAAAGAACACAAGCTACATATATTATATATCATTTTAATCAGCATTTATTCAATTTTTGTTTGAAGACACAGTTAACTCAAATGTAAGATTTGTAAATTATAAATGCCAAATGGACCCGATTCAGGCAATAATTGATATTTTTATTAAAATATTATAAGAATGTGTTTTTATGAGCAATTTATTTTTCTTTAATTTTACATTCTCATAAAATGCAGTGATTGTCGATTAGCGACGATATTTGTTTTGAAGCAAGGACTGGTAGAGCGGAAACGCTGATTGAAAATAGTATTCGCCGACTCAAATTCGTTTTAATCTCAACTAACCTTGAAAATTCAATGTCCACCATGAGTATGCTACAAGTGCATCCTATCCACCAAAATAGGGACTTCGATATGTGTATAATTTGACAAATATTCGAAGAAAATAACATTGCTTATGCATACGACCATTCAGTTGTTAAAGAGATCTCGAGTTATGCATGAGATGAAGGATAAAATGTTACGATAGTATTATGCAATCTCCATAATTCACCTCTTATACTATTTTATTTTTGGTAATTATAAAATTTTAAATATTGGCTATAATATAAAGACGTTGCAGTGGCAGATCTAGCAATTTAAAAAGAGAGAGAGAGAGGGGGGGGGGTGTCCAGGTGTCCAACACTCATGCATAAAAGCACTTCAAACCTGGCAACACCGAGTTTTCAACAGTTCTATGGGGGACTTTGACAAGCCAAAAACAAACAAACAAACAATTAAAACAAAAACACAAACAAGCAAGCATTAGATGTACATGTAGCTATAATTCGCTGGGATCTTCCATTGGTTTCAAAGTGAAACATTGTGTAGGACGTGTTGGTAGTCCACCCAGGGCTGGCATTGCATGTCATGTGACGGTACTCGGAGGAAAGCATATTAAACAAGGGAACTCTATTTGACCCCCTCCCCCCCTGCACGATTTAAAAGATTTAATAAATCATTTTTTGTGTATGGCGATGGGCCTCTACCCCGACCTCAAACTGCCCCCCTCCCATAGCCTTTACAAGATCCCACCTCTGCTAATGACTATGTTTTTTTTAAAGGGATGTCATATCTATATATATGTATGTACTATTTTTACCACACATTGCAAGTTAGACAATAAATAAAAACTTAAACACTATACATTGTATAATAAATTTACACAGGATTCCCGAACACACTGGGATGCGTTGATGGAACATTCATTAGAATTATGGCTCCAACTGAAAATGAACCGGATTTTGTGAATAGAAAGGGATTCCATTCTTTGAATGTACAGGTCAGTATTGTATTTCTTCTTTATTTTATTTGTTGTTTTATCTCATATCAAATGCTTCCAATGTTGAAGTTATAGACTATTTAATCAAAACATCAGTGATATGAGCGTCGTATTTGAAAGCGGCAGCCAATGAAAAAATCTATTCCCCTGAAAAAAGGACTTGATAAGCAGAAATTTTATTTTAAAAGTCGTTTGAACTCCTAATTACTAAATCATATTTATCTGACTATACTGCAACAAAAAGTTGCCTCCCACACCCCTTCTGATGCTACGAGACTACATATCAATATTATTTTTATTTAAATTCTTTAACTCTGCAGCATTATATGCAATTTATCAGCCATCTTAAAAAGTTAGGGTTTCATTTTGATTTCAAATAGATGGTTTGTGATGCCAACTTCCAATTCACGAGTGTGTGTGCCAGCTGGCCCGGTAGTGTCCATGATAGCAGGATTTGGCGGGAATCCTTCCTTTGTCGACAATTCGAAAGAGGTAAACAACTTTATTTATATTTTACTAAAAAATATTGATACATTTGTTTATCGATGGAGAAGGGAAACAAATTTGAAATGTTGAAGGTTATTATTCAAGAAATTCAATTAAGAAACTCTTGTACGTTTAGGTGAACACAATGGCATTTTGTTGGGCGATTCTGGATACCCCTGTCGACGTTATCTAATGACACCATACCTCAACCCGCAGACAAACGCTCATCAACGATTTAATGCATATCTGTGTCGAACCAGAGTTCTTATTGAGCAAAGTTTTGGAATTCTGAAACGGAGGTTTTCCTGTCTTCAAGGAACTCTGAGGTAAAGAAGCTTTGCATTATTTGGATGAAATACATGCAACTTCTAAAAAACATATTTTGCTATATTCAGTAAATAATACCCTCTATAGTTTTTTAACAGATAAACCGTCAAAATATTTCATATTGGCTCCAACTAAAATAATTGACAGCCATCTCTTGGGGAATACCACAATCAAAATACATCTAATTAAGTAAAAATTCAAATCTAATTTGATTTTTTTTTACAGAACGGCCCCTGAACAGGCAGTAGCATACGTTGTCGCTTGCGTCATCCTTCATAATCTTGGGATTCGAACTGGTGATGTGATGGATAGATTGGACCAGCAAGAGGATGCATTTGACCCGACGGCCCACCAAGTTGTGTGCAATTCTCCAGAGGGAAGTCACTTGCGAGACTATATCGCACAGACGTATTTCGGGTAGAGCTACATGTAGGTATGCACATATTCATAAACACTTGCATATTTTTGAATTCATAATACCGAAGATCACACAACTTACGTGTATGTATACAACTATACATTGATTCAATCAATGACAATTATTTATATAACATTTTTTGTCTATTTCAGGTCATTTTCAAGTGGTTGACGGTTTATAGTGACATATGTTTCAGAATTTCATTTGATATACTGAAGTACATACTTTTATTTATAGTTTAAAAAATAAACATTTCACATTTACTGATCCCAATTCAAGAGTTTGTGTTCTATTCAGAGCCTCTCAAAAGTAGTTAGTCATTGACAAACAGGGTTTATGATGAATTCTGGAAATTCAGAACTTAATTTACACAATAAATATGATTTTTTAATCTCAAGCATTTCAATCTCCGTTTGCAATTTTTTCTCCTCTAAGGCTAATTTCTTTTGTTCTTGAACAAGCTTGTTTATTTGTTGTGTCAGCTTCTCATTTTCAAGTTTACTATTTTTTATCTCTAGATCATCCAAGATCTCTCGTGGTACCATCTTCCTCTTCTTTTCCTTAGGCCGTACATCTTTCACAAAAAATATAAATGCAAATATATACACTGTACTTGCATATGTACCATCTTATCAAAGATTAGTGTTAATATATTTTTAAAATGATAGGTATCTTACCTGAATTTGTACTAAATGATAAACTTAAACCGGGGCTCTTAGAGGATGTTGAAGCATCACCGGTTCCTTCAACAACTGCTGCTAACTCTTGTGTTTGGACAGATGTTATTGGTTCTATAATTACAATGTACATGTATATTAAATGTTTAAAGTTTTCCGTGGTCCCAAAATATGACATTTTTTAAATCTTAACTCTACTAGAGAAGGAGAATTTTACTCTGGCAAAGTTCTACCTCTGAAATAAGTGACATTGTTTAAATTACCATCGGTATCAATGCTTCCCACCAGGCCAACAATGTTGGGTCGCGTATCCATTGCCTGATACAAGGCCTCCTCTGCCTGAGTGAGGGGCGCTGATGGTGGACCTCCCCCAGTCTTGGGCCTGCGTATGTCATCAATTTTCTCTTTTGCTACAATTGATGGCGATTTTAAACATTTCTCATTGATAAATATTTCCCAAAAATACTTTGCTCAACTCTAAAAAAAAGTAATAACATTTTACCTCTCTGTTTGATGTTGTCATACTTTTTGTAGATGGAGTCAGATGTTCTGTCGTTTTTAAATTGTCTGTATAAATGAAATTAAAAACAAAACATTGATAAATTCTAGTTTGTGTTTGACAAATTTGACATCTCACTTTAAAAGTGTTACATTTTCTTTTAAATATAATAGTGGATAATCACACAGAATATACTTAAACATACCCGGTAATTATATTTTGTTTATTTAAATAGTTATATTTTTGTTTTGTTTGTTAAAAAAATTTTTTTTTGTAGTCATTTATATTCGTTTTCTTGTATCCTATTTCTAAAAAAATCTGTAGGGTGGTCAAATTATTTCCCCCCCATTTGGGACTTGATTTTTTATTTTAAAATGAATTTCTTTAATCTCCAATATTATTAATGTCTGAAGCCGCGGTCTGAAGTGGTTTGTACCTATATTTGAGCCCCCACCCGCTTTCGTCGTTTATGACCAGAAATGGTATATAATACACGACATAACGGTGTAACCAACATATGTGATGCTGTTTAAGATGAGATTTTATTAAATTAACGGAGGAATTTTGATTAACCGTGGGCATTTACGGTTACGACAGAAAACATATTGTCCGTATTAATTTAGGACTGGAATATACTGGGATAAAATTTGTGTTTACACCTATACAAAGGGAGATCACAGCGAGAATCGTCTGGTCATGGGTCAAAACAAAAAGTAAGTGAATTCAGATTGATATAACAGTACTTACAAATTCAGTGTGTCAGTGATGGACTTCCAAGTTTCTTCTTTTACCTTTCCATGTTTCCCTTTAACCCCCGCCCCTTTCATCTTTCCAAATAGTTGTTGTTCGAATTTTAAAACCTCTTCAATTAAAGTTATCTCCTCCTCGCTGGTCCAATTAGCCCCCCGTTTCCTTTTACCCCCTGATATCAACCCAATTATGTCTTTCTCAGCCATTTTCATACAAAATAATACACAGACGACAGATATTTATTGCGTAAAATCATTACGTAAAAATTCCGCGAAAGTGCGCGATGTTATTGATGTAACACCTCAGCTGAGTTGAGGGAAAAAAAATCACCTCTATTGAGGTGATACTCAGTCTGTTTGGTGACGGTGAATTGAGGAAATCCTCAGTTAGGGAAACCTCAAGGGGTTTGAGTTGAGTATTGAGGGTGAGGTTGAGGAATTTTGGTGACGGCGGGGCCTGGTACTACAAAGTGCCTTTAAGTTAGTATCTTCCACAGTGTTTCTCGGTCCACGCTGTCGAATGCATTCTCATAGTCCGCGGAGTTGACATAGAGGGGAGACATCCACTCCAGTGATTGTTCTATAATGATGCACAGACTGGCTATCTGGTCAGCAAAATATCTGTTGGCTCTAAAACCAGCATGCAGGTCAGGAGCTTTGGGTCCACTGCTTTTTTTTTATTCTGTCGAGAAGTATTCTGTTGAGGACCTTGTCAGGCAATGACAGGAGCATAATTCCCCTGTATTTACTGCAGTCCCTCAAATCTCCCTCCTTTGGCAACTTGATAAGGATGCTTTCTTTCCATTCCTCCGGAATGATCTCTTCTTCCCAGATTTAAGAGGTTGTAAAGGATGTTAACGGCTGTATCTGTATCAGCTTTGATGGCTTTTGCTAGTATCTCATCAGGATCTCATCAGGCCCTGCCGCTTTTTTTATTTTTTATTTTTTTTTAATTGCTCTCCTGATCTGTCTTTGTTGGCTTGTTGCAGTTGATTGGGAGGTCTGTATTGGCTGGTCGTATATATGTCCGGAGGTGTTTCTGGTGTTGGTCTATTTAACAGCTTTCTAAAGTGTTCTACTCTCCTCTTCAATTGTTCTTCTGTTGTGAGAGGTTTTCCGTTCTTGACCTTCACTGGCTTGTCTGTTGGCTGGAACCTGAGCTCCTTTGTATTCAAATATAGTTCTTTCAAATTCCATTGCCTTGCTGCTTCTTTCGCTTATTTAAGCAGGTTGTTGAAGTAATCCCGTTTATCTTTCCTGATGCTTTCCTGAACTTAATCTGTGGCTATGTAGTCCTCCTGGCCTTTTGCCTTTGCTGTTTTTGTACTGCTTGTATTCAGCACCGCTTTCTTTTGTTTCCTCTCAACTAGTTTCCTCATTGTATCATCAGACAACCACTTCTTGTGCTGAGTCTTTCTCCTGCCTAGGACTTTCTGACATGTGCCTTGAAACATTTCTTTGATGTGCTGCCATTGGGTCTCGATGTTGGTGTCATTGTTTTCTATCTGGTCTTGTAGTTGCTGGAGTCTATTTGACAAGCTGAGATGGAATGCTGTCTTCACTTCCTTTGTTTTGAGGGCACTCACGTTGTACATTGTCCTCCTGTTTGTCATATTGTTGAACTTCTTGAGGCGTAGTCTTAATGCCGTCATCAACAGATGGTTGGCTGAGCAAATGTCTGATCGTCTCATCACCCTGACATCTTTCCATGCTCTTCTAAATTTTCTTGTTGATGCAGATATGGTCGATCTGGTTCTCTGTTACATGGTCCGGGGATCTTCTTTTAGCCTTGTGAATTCTTTCATGATGAAAGATGCTTCCCCCTGTTACCAGGTGGTTTAATGAACAAAGGTTTGCAAATCTCTCACCGTTCTCATTCATGAAGTCCTTATGTGCCCATGACTCCATTGTAGCCATTGTTGTCAGCTCTAATCTTTGCATTGAAGTCACCTATGAATACTGTCTTTCTTCCCTGTTTTATCCAAGACTGCCTGTAGTTGCTGGTAAAAGTCATCTTTCTTTTCCTCATCAGCATCATTTGTTGGGGCGTAACATTGTATGACGTTCAACTTGATCTTAATTCTTTGGTGTTAAACTTTGGTGTTATTATCCAGCAGCTGACACGGTCCCGTCCGATAAGAGCACGTTGTGCCTCCAGGGATATCATTAGACATACACATTCGGTGTGGTGGGCTCCCTCCTCTGTGTGTCCTGAATACAACAGTGTTTCTCGGTGTTAAACCTCAGATGTCCTGTCTGTAACCAGCTTGTCTCAGTTAGTCCAGGAGACATATTGTAGTGCTTCATCTCATCTGCTACCTGTGCTGTTCTTCCTGCTTCACACATTGTTCTGATGTTCCAAGTACATGTAGCAAATCTGATGGTTCAGGGTTCTCCATGAGTTTTTTTACTGTGTTGCTCCCAACACAGTACAATTTTCTCCGACACGGTAACGATTCAAGATTTTATGCATGCGAAACAGTAAAAATTTTGCCGACACAGTAAGATCTGTAATAATTAGAAAATCTAAACACACAAATTCTCTCTAACTGAAACTTTAACAAACAATTCTACCGTATTTAAGTTCTGAAAGTTAGAGCACTTATTACTAGGGCTTCACCTTGCATAATCATTTATCTCTTAAACCATCGCTGGACTTTACGCATGTCGGAACATGTTAGGTAGTTCGATTGTTTCGGTAAGAATTTCCTCTGCTTTTCATAACGTGGTTTTACTTTTATCAATATGTACGACCATACTATTTGTATAACGAATTAGCGATTTTTAAATAGGTCTGTGCATGTATATTTTTAATTATAATGAATAAGGTTCAGTTGCGAATTTGATCGCGAAAATACCGCGAAATTTTATTGTTTTGCGTAAACTCTCCAACACAGTAAAATTTCAAATAATGGAGAACCCTGCTGGTTTTTCTGGGTGTCAGAAAGGAAGTCAGCTCTACAGTTTCCTTTCGTGTTTTATTGCACAACATCATAGTTCCCCATGTAGGCTCAATCTGGTCCTGTAATGTTGGTTTTGGCTTGTCGTTGATGCATCGGTAACTTGTTGTTTTTTATAGACAGGGTTGTTGGCCCTTTGCAAACCTCTAGTAGCCTCAAGGAAAGGTGGTTTGGTTTTGGAGTTTTCTTCCTGGACTGCTTTTCTTCCGTGGATATTGAGTGCAGTCTGCCCATCCGGTTTTATGTCATTGTCATTCACCTAGCCTTTCCAATATGAGTTAGTATGGCTGCAAGGCAGGGTAGGTTTGGAATCAGAGTTTTTCTCCTCTTAGATGAGCTATCCTCCCAGACTGATAAACCCTATCTGCCCAAAGCACTGGTTTTCAGACGCCATGTAACTCGACTTCACTCCTTCTTCTATCAGTAGTAGCAGTTTCGCAGAAATCGATGAAAGCCACACGAGCAGGCTAGGAGCTGGACTTTGGTTGTCAGAGGCTATTTGAGGCGCACGTACGTCACAAGGAGCACTTTACAGACAATGGGAGCTTATCCCCATTTCCACCCCTTGGCTATAACGGCCTTTGGAATTGATAATACTAGATAAGATAACCTACAATAGAGGTTTTAAGTATTGTGTAAGGAGTGCTAACAGGATTTAACGATATATAATATACAAAGAAGGGAGGCAGGATAACATAATTTGATTTAAAATACCTGTATTGCCTTATTTTGAGAGGACAGTAGATCTCATTTTTAATTTTATTTTGCGGAAGGAATTGAGAAGAAAAACATTCTGGAAAAAAAACTAGACAGGAGTTTATAAAGGAGGAATGAGAGGGGATGGACTATAGCATAGCTGTCGTTCCCTTCTGAGACGACGTGTTATGTGCTTGAAAATGATTCCTCTTTATTGTATATTGTCCTAAATGTAGACGTAAATCGTCGATCTTAAAAGTCAGCGCTTCTTGCAACGGTCTCATACCCCAAAGAAGGAAAATATTCTTCGAAATCACAAGCATGTTTTGAAGAATTTTAATATTCCCAGCAATTAAAATGAAATTAAATTGCCATATCTTTCCAACAATTCACAACACTCATTACAAACAAAGATACAAGGTGGGATCTATTAAATGATTTATCGAGCCTCTTTCCCACTTCCTTAAGAAAATAATAACAGCCTTGAACATGTTCAAAAAAAACAAAATAAGTGGTAATATACATCAACATATTTAAGAAAAAATGGATGCAAAAAAATTATGCAGAAAATTATTGAATAAAATCACATAATTTTTATAAAAACTAATAACATCAAAACATTACTTAAGTGACATTTATAATAGTTTTCGATGTATTACGATTATCATAATTCTTGCTCAACTCTAAATTTGTAAGACTTAAGCAGACATACATGTATGAGTATGGTTCATTACTATCATCATGATCATATATGTTATTTTGATTGTCTACATTTCTAAATCTATTACCGGGAAGGTAGAAAAAAAAACTGGTTCAATTAAAGTTGAAACATTATTTTGTCTTGATCATTTCACAGGTACACCCTCCCACAACATAGGACTTATCAAATGTCTTGCCTCGAAATCAAGATTAATGTTTATGGAAAAGAAGAAAACAAACCAGCAATTTTACAAAGTTTAGAACAGAACAGATTCATAGACGCCGACACACCTAGAGCAAAAGCACACTTCTCAAGAAAACGTCGAAGTGATAGAACTATTGAGGTCTATAAGCTTCAGGTATTCCTTTAAAGATGCAAATGCTTTAAAAATGCATGTATATGTATAGTGGAGTTTACTTAACAGTAAATCATAATAACAAATATAACGAAAAATATTTTACTATCAGTATTGTGTTTCATGCACTTAAGCATCTTGGATATTTACGAGGGTTGTTCGAAAAATTTGTGGACTTCTGTCATATGTTTTTTATGTTTGACGTCATATGTTATCCAAATTTGGTAGAAATGTGTTCAAAATAAATCTAAATGATTTGCATAATTCTTTTTATAATATTATGATTTATTCAAAACTTTTCCAGATGTTAAAATGCAAAAATCGGACCGCGGAGCAGATCAAAATTTAGTTGTTACAAACAATACACTTAAAAATGTGTGTAGTCACATTCTCTGTAAAATGAAGCACAAACAAAAAAAAAACAACATAGAAATTCAAATTAATAATTGTAACAATGATTAGTGTTCAAAATTAAGGCTTAATACATGTATTTTGCTTTGTTGAAAAGAAATCAATTTGAGAAGATAAGCAGTTATTGAAAACGACAACAGCAGATGATGATGCAATTTTGTGTTTTACTCAGGAAAAATCCTGAAAAACTCAAAAAATGTTGGGAGGAATAAAACAAATATGTCACAAGCCAGTTGTGTATGTGTGTACAAATAGTACAGGCAGTATTTGAGTGACATAGACTCTGTATGGGATGCTCATGGACAATCTGTGAAGAAACGGTTTAATTGTAAAAATCTGTGCAAAAACTTTTAAAAGTTGGAACGTCAAGGAAACTTGTAGGCGCTTCAGAGTTGCTTATCCTGTGAAGGAAAAGTGAAGAAATAAAAGAAATTAAAACCTTAAGAAACGAAATTATACAACGAGAGCAATTCTTAAAAATTATAAATGTGATGTATTAGAAAAAGAAAAATGATGTAAGAGTGGGCATTGAGTTATTCTGTGTGAAATGCTATTCTAGAAATTCTTGACGCTATGTTTTGACGTAACAAGTGTGCTCCGCGGGCAGAAAACATGTTGATTTAAATGAAGTAAATTGATTTCTATTAAATCGAATTGAATGAAACTTCACACATCAACAAAGCAAATGTTATTACATATTAAATCGTGCTTATTTTAAATTTCTAGTGAGTAATATAACGAAGATTGACATCGTCCACGAACTTTACGAACAACCCTCGTACATTGTACATTATCTTTATTCTCTTATGGCTTGTATTCTGCAAACATTCTTTTTAATGAATGATTTAAATTGGTTGTAGGAAAATTTCTCAAGCAGTGATGATTTGTCTTCAAAAGGTATTTGTATTTTTTCTTTTCGTTTCTTTCACAATTTAAAACAGTGCATGTATCAACCTAACACAGTAGGATAATGGATATTATGTAAGTTTAACTTATTAAATATACCAGTTAACTGATTAAATTAAAATGAGATAAAATTTACCTATAGATAAAAATTAATACAGATATTTTTAGCTTATAGAAGTAGAAACTATCTTTAATTAAAAACTAACCAAAATCAAATAGCACATTTGATATATAAATCTATATATATTTAAGGTAGTCCGATCCTCAGGTTTATAAAATTAGCAGTTAAGTAATCAAAAATACTCATAAAAGTATCACTGAATCCACAAAGCTATGTCAATTTATCCACAGTATTTCTTTACAGTTAAAGAATAAAGTTAATCATATTAAATAGGGAAAATTGTCAAATCTCCAATATTTTTGCAGAAAAAGCGAATTGGAATATCAGCAATGCATTTTCTAATTGCAAATTGATCAACAAATATATTTTAGGTTAATAAACGATAGGTATCCAGGCATTCGGAGAAATTGTCATGATTTTTATACTTATTTGGTATTTTTTTGTCTTTTATTTCCGTCATGTTTTCTATAATACATAGTGTAAAGGACTTTTGCTATCGTTGCAAGGCACCACAAATCACTTCTCATTTCATATCATGCTAATAAGCATTGGTATCCAAGGCTGGGTTCAAGAAAATCGTATTTCTCTAAAACTGTATTATTTTCTTTCCTTTCATAGGGTAAAATGTCAACTTTTATAAGACCATTTCTAAGACTTCCAAAAACCTTGAATCTTATAAAGGTTAAAAAAATTTCATTTTCAAGCTTCATTTTATGCATTTCAAATTAAATATTAATTTTTGGAGTTATCCTTCCTGGCTGAGGATCGGATATCCTTAAATATTTACTGTAAATATATTATAAAATATAAAGTGTTAATGTTCTTGATACCTTTTTTTACATGACACCTATGAAGTTATTTTTATTGTAACACAATTCTATAATGCAGGCTTGTTAGTAAACTTTCTGAGACGAAGTTACTCAGACAGGAAATAAAAGACCCCTTAAGGTTCCTGACCATTACACAATTCAGCGAACAATTATCACATTTCGTCAATATGATTTTAAAGTTCGAAGAAACTCAAGTTTGTTGAAATGTTATTTTTTTTTAACAATTATTTTTTGCTGTATTTGTTTTTGCTGTTGATTTTGTTTAGTTTTGGCTTCTTTCCTTTCCCTCTTTTGTTTTAAACAATATACACTTATTAGCGTCCTATTTTGTTACGCATCGTTAAGAAAATTATGTTAAATTTCAAAAGACAAGAGAAAAGAGATGTAACTCTGTTATTGTTTTTCAGAAACAATTAATCTGGAGGAAAAGTCTAAAGTTCTCCTTTATTCTGTTTTGCTGATGACTAATTATACAGCAAGGGAAAATGATGAGCAGTGGCTTTTGAATCTCGAGGAACTGCAGAGAGCCTTCCACCTGCCAAGCTCGGTGAATTCTTTACGAGTACGTCCCCTGAATGAATACTTGACAGTCTGTACAGACGGAGTAGTTACTTTCTTATCTAAACGTGAACGGGATCTCGTGATAGAGTCTGTAGACTCGCCCGAGTATGGTAGAATATTTTTGATGCGTGCGGACAGAAATTCGGTGATAGAGTATTGCAGAACATCACTGTACGAACAAAAACCTGGAGAAGTAATTCTACGCATTGACTCAAAGTTTAATGAAGACTTCATTGACCGCATTGGTTTGAAAATTTTGGATCATCCTACTATAGAAGATTCCAGCATACATGAAATGATATCTAAAAAATGTTAGTACATGTATTTGAATTTGAATATCTGAGGCATAAATATCACAAGACGATTGTTTATTAAGTATGTTACATGTATCATGTGAATATATGCTAACGTGTTCTTTTTTCTTTACCAAATTTTAGTGCGCATTCCAATCGAAATTCTCACTTTGGGAAGAGATGGTTATAGCCGGTTTGTTGACCTTTTAAGGAAAGGAGAAAGTGAAATTTGTCATGCTTCAGTAATGATACTTGGATGCGGGGGCGTCGGAAAGACAACGCTGCTTAAAAGATTGACTACAGAGAATAGTATAGACGAAATAAGAGCGTCTACGGAATCTACCCAAAGTGTTGACATTCATCAAACTAATGCTAGCACTTTACTTGGTAATTGTCATTTTACATTCTAGGCATACATTGTGACCAAAATATGTTATCTCTCCCTCTAGAATAATTGTGCCGGTTCACTTGGAAGGTAATAAGGGATTTCCGATTTTCTAAAATGTTAATGGCGAGTTCATCAATCTAAAACATATGAAGAAGGCACTGTGTCTAAGAAAACTTCTGCACATCATAACGCTTTTAGCATATACATAATTGTTTGTTTTCAATACTGTCAAAAATAACCTAGCATTTGTGAAGGGGGATATTTTCTGCTTTAGATCGAAATGTGTTTTATATATCATGTTTGTCTTTTCAGCCTTGCAATCTGATGATCACAAGAGAATAAAAATTGACATTTCTCCCATCTTACATACGGGTAAACATCAAGAAATTGGAAAATCACCAAAGAAAGAAAACATTTCAATCCAAAAACCAAAGAGAGAAGACGAAAGCGAGAGAAAAATGTACAACTTAAGAAATTTTAATTACGGACAGGATCAGGCATTAGAAAATACCACCATCACAAGTAACAATGATAGAGGAAACAAAAACGTACAACACACATGGAATATTCAAGGTTTTCCAAGCGCCGGCGAAAGTAGAGCAAAAAGAGGGAAAGGCAAGCCTGAAGAAGGAAATAAAGAAATGAAATCCAATGCTCTCCTTCAGCTTATGCCGGATGCATTACAAAAAAAAGGTGACGTTAATAAAACCATTGACTTTTATGATTTCGTTGGACAACATGTGTACTATGCTACACATCAGATATATCTACGCCGTAGTGCGTTTTATATTCTAGTAACAGACATGAGAAAAGGATGGACGGAAAAAGCAGAACCGGAGGATCATCGAGGTGACATGATGTTCAGAGGCATGACAAATGAACGTAAGATTTTCTTAGTGAACAGTGTGTATTAAGTCCACTAAAATCATTCCCTGACAATAAAAATATCATATTGCTAGGATTTTTTAGTCTGCTGGATAAATTTTAGCCCAGTTTTAAAGAAATTGACTGATTGATTGTATGTTGTTTAACGTCCCTCTCGAGATTTTTTCACTCATATGGATACGTCACCGTATTACGCCTGTGAAGGGCTTCAATTCTAGACCTATACTCGGCACTCTGGGCCATTGAGCAGTGATTGAGGGTTCTTTAACGTGCCAACGCCTACTGCGACACGGGACCTACGTTTTTAAGGTCATATCCGAAAGACCCCTGCATGACTTTTACTTCTAATGCCTAGCGTTTAGCGAAGGAACAGTCATAACCTATGTAAACGTCTTAGTTTTAAAGAAATTGAAATTATGAAAGATTTTTATCAAACCTTATGAAAGATAAATATTTGTAACAGAAATTTACTATCAGCATATACTTTTAAATTTAATATCTCTATAACCATGACCCAATTTTTCATCATTTCATTTTTACTTAAGTTTCAAAGAAACTTTTAGATATTTAATAAAACTTTTTAGTTCTTTTTTGAAACAAATATGTGAGAACAAGTAAATTTGATTTTTTATCTGACCTTGGCTTTTCAGATAACTGTGATATTAACTTTTCAGCACTATATCAAACTTTACATAGGGGAAATATTTATGAGAAGTTCTTGGGGTGCTGCTTGATAATTTTTGATTATGTCCATTCTTATTACCTTGATCTTTTTTTCACAATTTTTTTAAAACTTTGTTAACAGATGCATGTATATACAGGAAAAAAATCGCTAATAACGGGGTAGTATATTATTATAAACTAGAAATTTCATCCATACTATGGGTTTTATCAAACTTCTTACAAAGGTAGATTTTTTAAAGAAAAAAATCAAGTATATGATTGTTGGAATTAAATTTCGATATTGCATCGAACATACTTTCCTACATGTATTCAAGATATTTTTATTAAACTACAGGCACTGACCCAAATTAGTAAACGCAATTCAACTTTGGATATTTTCATGACATTGAACTTCATTTTGTGTTTATTTTGCTTGTAAATTCATCATTGACCGAAATATTCGACATATCCCTTTTGGATATGTTTCTCTTTTTTTGTTAATTTTGTCCTTAATTATATATTCATTTCTTTAATATATTTAAATTCGTATATGTTTACAGAATACTTAAACTTCTGGCTAGAATCTATACAGGCTTTCTCTGGAAGTAGCCAACCAGCAATAATTTTGGTGTGCACTCATGCAGAGGGAAAATCAGAGGAGGTAAGGTTTCCTCCTTTTTCTTATTGAATTATAATTCAGATAAATTCAGGTATAATGAAGTGATTTATTTTACAAGTTTTTGTATATTATACGTTTTCTGGAGCTGTTGTCAAGATCTTACTGAAAAAATTATTTTTCTAGAACTGATAATAGATAATAAAATCATAGGCACTTAGGGTATGGAACCCCCCCCCCCTTTTTTCATTTTTTTTCTTTTTAAATCTGGGTTCGAGTCACCTTTTTCCTATTTTTCTATATAAATGTAGCAGTGGAAAACGGCATTTTTAAAAACAGCTTGTAGAGACAAAAGAGTTGCATTTTTGATAACATATAGTGCATAATAGAATAGAAAAATAGGAAAAAGGTGACTCGAACCCATATTTAAAAAGAAAAAAAAAATGGAAAAGGGGGGGTCCATACCCCAAGTGCCTATAAATAAAATGTAACTGGATAGCATTTATCATTTAATAACATAATCTTCCAATAGAACAGATATTTTTTTTTATTCTAAGCAGGTAAAATTCAGAGTTAATTTATTAACTTTAATTTTAGTTATTTGTTCTGAATCCTCATTATTCATTATTAGATATATGATAATCAAATTTGCAATGATGTTCTTCTCAGGAGATCTCTGAATATTTCATATACCTTCGAGACAGAGTTAAAGCAAAAAAGCTCCTTGATATGCTATCCTATAATAGGGAATTTGCAGTCTCGTTTGAAACAAGCCACACTCTCAATGAAATCAAAGATTGTATAAAAAAAATTGCCAAAGAAAATGAGTATTGGAAGCGAAGAGTTCCCAATGTGTGGACTCTCTTTCAACAAAAACTGAGTGAAATTAGGACAAACCACAACACAAAATTAATGACATTTGAAGAACTACAGGAGCTACAAGTCAGTTTTCCAGAGGACATGAGATTACCAAATGAAGATTTAAAGTTCATGTTGAAGTTCTTTCATGAACATTTTATTTGTTTTGTATTTTGACGTTAAAGATCTGGAGAAATTCTTTATACTCGATGTAAACTTTTTCAAAGATGCGTTTAAATGTATCATTACTGTGAAAAGTAATGTCATACCAAAAGTTACCAGGAATTTCCACAAACTGTGGATAGCGTTTCAAGAGAAAGGGGAACTTCCGCATCCTCTTTTGGATACAATTTGGAATCCTGCATTCATGGAACACAAGCAGCATCTTCTCATGTACATGAAAGAACTTTCTCTAATTACTGAAGTAAAGAAGAGGAATACAGAGAACACTTCACTCTTGATAGTTCCCTGCATGAATACAGTTCAATTTGAACCAGAAACATTTAAAAACTGTCAAAAAACCTCGATATTCTGTATTCAGCTACCTGCTCTTGCGCATCTGATCTTCCAGCGACTCGCAACTGTGCTTGCCAATAAACTGTGGCCTATCGCGATAGCAGAAGGAAACCTTTGCTTATACCAGAATGTGGTAATATTTGAACATAAACATCTACTCATTGCTGTAGGAAGCATGCACGATACCATACAGATTCAATTGCTTAGCTACGATAAGGAAAAGTCAACTGCAGAGAATATTAAAGTAAAGGATGCCATCATATCCAAACTAAATGATATATCAAGCACAATCCATTGCAGTTTTTCACATATTCCTGGATACAAGTGCAAAAATACAACCTTTTGCGATAGGACTAACACTTGTTTTATACCTGCAAACGATATTGATTACACGAAAGAGTACACTACCTGTGAAACTTGTGCAGTGGGAGAAAACAGGATGGTAAATATCAAGGAATTGGTTTCACACTGGAAAATGGTATGTAGGGAATACTGTATACTTCAGAATCTGTATAAATAATGCTTTGTGATCGCCAATTTTTCATAGGTTAATATATTTTATTTTATATGTATGAAGGGACCCATATAAATTCATATTCAGCACAAATGCTAAATGTCATGTACAAAATTACTAAACAATTCTTCATTCACGATATCAAATATTCACCTAAGTAATAGTTTTTAGCTCACCTGAGCCGAAGGCTCAAGTGAGCTTTTCTGATCTTTTTTGTCCGTCGTCCGTCCGTCTGTAAACTTTTCACATTTTCGACTTCTTCTCAAGAACCAATGGGCCAATTTTAACTAAACTTGGTACAAAGCATCCTTGGGTGAGAGGAAATTAAAATTTTTTAAATGAAGAGCCAAGCCCCTTACATGGGGAGAAAATCAAGAAAAGACAAATATAGGGTGGGGTCACTAAAAATCTTCTTCTCAAGAAGCACTAGGCCAGGAAAGCTGAAACTTATGTGGAAGCATCCTCGGGTAGTTTAGATATTAAATTGTTAAAATCATGACCCCCGGGGGTAGGGCGGGGCCACAATAGGGAATCCAAGTTTTACATAGAAATTATATATAGAACAAATCTTTGAAAATCTTCTTCTCAAGAACCACTGGGCCAGGAAAGCTGAAACTTATGTGGAAGCTTCCTTGGGTAGTGTAGATATTAAATTGTAAAAATCATGACCCCCGTGGGTAGGGCGGGCCACAATAGGGAATCCAAGTTTTACATAGAAATATATATAGAACAAATCTTCTTCTCAAGAACCACTGGGCCAGGAAGGTTGAAACTTATATGGAAGCATCCCTTGGTAGTGTAGATATCAAATTTTCAAAATCATGACCCCTGGGGGTAGGGCGGGGCCACAAGAGGGAATTCCAAGTTTTACATAAAAAATATAGAACAAATCTTTGAAAATCTTCTTCTCAAGAACCACTGGGCCAGGAAAGCTGAAACTTATGTGGAAGCATCCTTGGGTAGTGTAGATTCTAAAGTTTTAAAATAAAAAAGGGAACGGGGTTGTTGGGCATGATAGGTATAGCAAGAGGGGGAATCTGCTAAAAATATGCATCACCCAAGTTACTCAGGTGAGCGATGTGGCCGATGTGGCTCTTGTTTCGTAAACCTTTACCCCATGAAATGTGATTTTTCTGTTTATGATTTGTCCTACATTACTGAAACGCACTAAATAAACACATGTATTCGCATTATTTATGTTAAAAAATAATGATTATAAATAGTTACTCTGTTTTTTCGATAGATCCAAGATGAGGATTCTAGCATGATTGACAAAGAAGGTAATTTTGATAGATATAAATTGGTGCTTAAATATGAATTTATATGATGGTAAAATGAATAATTATAATACCAATCTCTAATTTTCAGACACGATGTTATTATTTGACTTTGTTTCCGGAAAACTATGCAAGGAAAAATCAATTTTATGTGCTAGTTTGCTTGGAGAGAGTCACTTTGCTGATGCCTTGATGACGAGTATGACGCTTTCTTCAGAGGAGCAGGTTTTCCAGATTTTGAAGACTTCGAAGGAGAGGAATCCAAATATATACCACATAGAAGAATTGAAAAAAAGAATCATTGATATATTTGAAAACAGACAGCTTGCAGATGATATCAAATGTTTCACTAAGGAGAATTATTCCTTCCCAACAATTGTCAAACCATTGCAACTAATTTTATCATCAGAATGTGAGCTAATAGTCAAATCTGTAACAAAACAAAGGAGCAGACTTTTGCGTTTTTTGGGTTTGGAGGAGAGTCTAAGAGAAGGAATAGAAGAGGAAGTAAGGGATCCACACAAATTAATGCGCCGCTCACTGAAGTGTCTATCTGACGAAAACGTTTTAAATAGAGGAAATCTTTGTGCTGCTTTGAATTACATAGGAAGGGTAGATATTTTAGAAAAATTAAATATGCTCTGGAAAAAGCATAACACCGATTCTGCCAAAATATGACTGCTAGCATATTCAAGAAGGTTCAAAATATGATACGCTGTTTTGATTGAATCACATTTTAAGTTTTTTCAAGTTTTGATATCATTATTTTGTAATGAATTTAGCCACAAATACTAGAAAGTACTAATCTATGCATCAGATGTTTGTTTCTAGCTAGACGTAAGTGTTGTATACAGTGTATAAGGATATTAACCTGTATCCCCATCTGCTTGAAAAATAAAGGCTTAAGAAACATCTTGTTTTGTTAGAATATAGATTTAATTAACAGGATTTAAGAATTATAAAAATTAATTGAAAATTTGAAAGATTTTTGTGTTTATATATAAGTGGAACATTAATTTTGATAACGTTAAACTCTATGTTTACCAAAAAAAAATATAATACACGTACATGTATATACTAAAACCAAACGTTTTGTTTGATATATTCCAACTGAATATCTTTTTTTTATCAGACCTTAGCTTCAGTAGGACAGTAGAAAGGACTTACATTAAAAGAATTTGTCTTCAACACAAAGTGCGCTTTTAAAGTTAATTACTGTAATTAAACCTCAATGAACAATGCAAATGATTGTTTTCGTTCTATAAAATTGGACCGCCTGTAGGTAATACACTCTTAGTTTTATAACTCTCCTCTTTACAGAAATGACCATATGCATATACAAAACAATAAAATAGTTAAATTTAGCTAAGTACAGGTAACTGTAATTTACCATTACTTCTCATTATCATTCAAAGTATCAAAGTCTTTGCCGTAGTCAATCAAGGTAACAAGAGCATTGGAGATCATAGTTACGTTATATAAGTTAAGCATCTACTTTTGAATTTTTAATTAGAAAATTGAACTGAACAGACGTAGACGTGTTTTTCATTTTAGGAGATGCTTTGGAGAAATTCTATTGAGCAACGTAAAACAATTTTTAGGAATGCATTTAATTTATCATTAATGAAGTCATACCGGCACCCTTGCGCCGACTTCGTTTTGTTGATGAGTCTTAAATACCTTAAATGAAATTGCACAATAATGTAATAATCAGGGATTTTCCACACCATTTTGGGAATGGGGCCCAGGCCCTTGGAATTAAGAAGGTTACGGCATTTTATCAATAAATAGAAAATTTGAAAGCATGATGTTTTTTTTTTTTTTTTTTTTTTTTAAAAAATAAACACTTATAATTAATAAATTTGATGTTATCCTTAATTATTCAGAAATGTCAATCAGATGATAGATCAATAATAATAAATTTTTAGCCAAATGTCATGAAAATTTTGTTTATTTTTTTAATTTTTAATAAACTGGCTATTATTTTACCAGAAATTTAATCAAGTTAACTTTGTGGGTTCAATTATGGGTAAAATGGATGGATTTTTAAATTGGGAATGGGACCCATATTCGTCCCTACACAGTGTATGGAAAATCCGTGCATAATATGACTTCATATTGTGTACTTGCCTTTACGTGCTGTGGGTGCAAACTATGTATAAGAAAATAAATTTGAACTTTTTCTGTATAAAAGATACGCATTTTATGAATTTTTAGCTCACCTGAGCCCAAGACTCAAGTGAGCTTTCCTGATCAAAATTTGTCCGTTGTCTGTCGTCGTTGTAGTAAATTTTTCACATTTTCATCTTCTGCTCAAGAAACACTAGACCAATTTCAACCAAATTTGCTACCAAGTATCATTGGGTTAAGGGGATTCAAGTTTGTTTAAATGAACGGCCACGCCCTCTCCAAAGGGGAGATAATTATGAATTAGTGAAAAATTAATGGCATTTTAAAAAATCTTCTCAAGAACCAATGGGCAAGGAAAGATGAAACTCATGTGGAGTCACCCTCAGGTAGTGTAGATTGAAGTTTGTTCAAATCGTGAACCTCGGGGCAAGGGTTTGGCTACAATGGCCAATCAAAGTTTTACATAGGAATATATAGGGAAATCTTCAAAAAATTTTCTTCTCAAGAACCGCAAAGCCATGATTAGTGATATTTATATGGAAGCATCCTCAGGTACTGTAGATTCTAGTTTGTTCAAATTATAAACCCCAGGGATAGGGTAGGGCCACAATGGGGGATCAAAGTTTTAAAATTAAAATATATTTTAAAAAAATCTTTTTCTAAAGAACAGCAAAGCCATGATTAGTGATATTTATACGGAAGCATTCTCAGGTAGTGTAGAATTAATATTTTTCAAATCATAACCTCTAAGGGTAGGGAAGGGTCTAAATGGTAGATCAAAGTTTTACATAGAAAAATAAAGGGAAATATATTAATAACAGAAAAACTATGTTAAGTCATATTGCATCCTCATGTATTGAAGATTTAAATTTTTTCAAATCATGACTACCCTTTGGGGTAGGGAGGCCAGGAAACAATGGGGAGTCAAATTCGAATTATTACACCTGTCAGTAATATATATAAACAAAATGTTTTAAAAAATCTATAAAAGCTTTTTAAAGAACTTTCTCAAGAATTTGTATACAGAATATGAAGGCAATATCAAGTAGGAGCAGAATTCAAGCCCCCCCCCCCCCACTCTCCCCCCGTAAACTTTTAAATTCTGATCTGATATGTGCCTTTTCCTTGCCGATGTGCTCAGGTGAGCGATTTTGCTCTGGGCCTCTTTGTTCTAGTTCCTATGCATGGAAACGCATAAACCTTAACCCACTTGCATATTTTAACATGCCAGGTATTTACAAGTATGCCAGCAATCATAATATTTTTGTTGCATGTCTATAAAATTATGTTGCATATTAGCATAATTTATCCTGCATGATGGGACATAAATATTTCACCATAGATTGTCCGTCTTAGCCATTTGTTAATCTGACACCAAAAATACAGTACAGTTCAAATGCAGATATGTTTGCCTAAATGAATTTGAATAATTTATAACTGCAAAAATAATGTCATAAAGAATACTTATTAAAGTTTGAATGAATCCATGAGAGATTGAAGTAAATTTCCTCAGATAAATGGAATATTTAGGAAGTTTGTTCCTACCGTTCCTTACACATGTACACAATTATGATATAAGCATATTCCATATTACAAAAAGTTCTGTTAATACCTGAAATGTGATTAATAAAGTCTAAGTGGGATATATTATCGAACAAAGGGACGACTACAGAAGGAAGGGAATCCTATACTATGGACTCATTTTTATTCTAGGCCAGGGTGCCAATGTTCTTGGATAAGTAAATTTTGGTAGTTCATCGGGACTTTAATTCCATGGGTAACTCGTATACATAGAAGATACATTAATTATATAGTTAAATGTTACCAAAGTTAACTGTTCTTTTGGATATTAATCTTTGGATAAATGTGACACAAGAAATCCATGAATATGGGGCCCCACAAAAATCATGTTTTCACAGTAGTCTCCTCTGGTTACACTAGAAAGTCACTAAATAAATATTGAAAAAGGTTTTTTTTTCATTTTGTGATGAGAAAAATTGAGATGGAATATATGTCAGAATTCAGATCAATTTCTGTATATGTCTTGCTGTTTTTATTTCATAAATACTGAATTTGTAATCAACTAACCTAAAAAGAATTTGCTTTAAGGGTGTTTACTTATTTATTTTTATAATGCATAATTATGTTGAGAGAAACACAGTTATAAAGTGCATATTAAACTGTAAAAACAAAGATAATTAGTCAAATATTTGAACCTCTTGATAGGTTTGTCCCATCAATTTGTTTGTTCATCAGTATAAGTGCATTTTATTGCGTGCACTAGTATATTTTGTCAGTTTGATTTATTGATGCCAAGTTGGTTGTATCCAGGGTCTAATCATTGAGAAATGTACTTTAATATTTTTAAACCTAAAGCTGCCAGAAAATGAAGAATGAAGTAGTAAGCTATTACAGTAATTACATAATTTTGTTTTTACACTTTTGTACCTTTTTATTAAGTTCCCTTATCTGCAGCTGAAAAAGAGACCAATCATTTATTAACGACATACTCTATAGTTTATGTTTAATTTATGTAATAAGAGGGTTGTCCCCAAAACCGCAAAATACTCAACACATTTGTTTCACCCAGACTTTAATTTAGTGCAAGGATGTGTCAATCAAACCCGTCCAGATATTTAAAGTTTCAATTACTTTTATAGATGAAATAAGAGTTTTACTATATTTTCGTGTGAAATGCTATTGCAATATATACGTTGTGATATTATACAGAAAATGTGAGAAAATATTAACTTCAAATATGTGTCTATGCACCATTAAGAATGATCCAGGACCATTCTCAGTAATTTCAGAAACAATTTAGGACAAAGTTTGGTCAGTCATGAAGTGATTTGATTTTTTTTTATAATAAGAGAGACGCCTATTCAGCAAAGAAATGTGATTTTTGGGATATACCGGTATCAAACCAATATGTAACAGACTAGTGTAGTTCATCATTATGGAGTGCTTTTATATTGATTATATGATATCTACGGATTATATTGTCCGGACGATGTGTACTGAATAACGGCTCCTGAATGATTGGGAGCTTTAAAATAAATATTTGCTGCTTCTCTAATAATTTTCACGAACAGAGTGTTCAAAGACAGATGCATATGAAGGTAAAAATGTTTGGTTTTTCTTTTCTAAAATTATAAATGCATTTTTTTTTTATATTTCAAGGAAGTTTCTTTTAAACTTTTGCTTTCGACATTTTTTTAATGCGTATTTCATGTACAGTGTATTTTACAATTTGAAATATTGAGTATACATGTACCGGGTATGTCATTTGGAAAGAGAGGACGTAACGCCTAATAATTTGATCAAAATCAATTGCAATTGGAGCTAGATTAAATATCTCTTAAATCGATGCTATTCAAAAAATGATAATTGCTATTGCGTCGTGTAGTCTCTCTGATCGTCTGTGACTCAAACAATTCCTTATTTTTAAGGACAGAAATATGGTAAGAAGTATCTTTATTTTGCTGTGGTTCCTCCAATGTTTGTTTATTTTTGGAAAAGGAAAGCATCCAGGTATGTCCACGTATTTCTAGCTCATGAAAAGTACCTAAACTTCTAAATTACAGTTTTGTGAGATTAAGTTGTTGTTAACAGAATAAATTTGAAAACAGTCTGTTTCAGCTTACTAAAATATGATAAATAATGCGTGTTATAGTTATGCAGTTTGATATTTTTTTCAATAGGCCTCTTTCATATTTTCAATGATATAAGCTTTTTTGCGAGCGCGCAAGCGACAAAGTCACGTGACACCCGACATTCCAAGGCGGTCTATTTTGAATCCAAAATGGTGAAACGCTGTTCTTGGGGCACATGTAACAGCGATAATAGGTACATGCATAAAGAATACATGAAAGGAGTGGAATTTTTCCCAGTACCAAAGCCTAAAACACGATTAGACGACACCATACTTTGGGTAAAGGCATGCGGAAGAAAGTTTTTTACCGTTGACAATGTAAACAAACATACATATGTATGTAGCAAACATTTTATTGATGGTCGCCCTACCGCATCCCTATCCATTAAATGCCAATTCAAATAGAGTTATTTTGAAAGGTAGAAAACATGCGACAAGAAAGCACACCTTCACACCAGGAGATAAACAGACGAATACCAATCTCGGCAAGGATGGATTTGTACCACACCCCGTGCCAGAGGCTTCCTTGTTTGTTACCGTCGAAGAGGAAGAAATCAGTGAAAAAGTCTCAACCCAGCAGCAGCTCACAGAAGGTAAAATATAATTCAAATTTTGAATAAACTCACATGAGATAAACATGAAACATTCGCAGAGTGAAATCTAGATTATTATGTGTAACAACAAGTGTAAATAGACCAATTTAAGCTAAATTTCAAAACATTACCGTAAAAATATTAAGGTTCCAAAATTTGAGTGGAAGATCTGTATATATCCCAATGACCCCTAGATAAACGCATTTCACTGAGAAAGAATGCACGACATGCAAACATTTACAATGAAATGGAAAAACCCAAAGTTATTTTTAGTCGAAAAAACATACTTTTCAAATACTGACTAGATTTTTCAAGGTTCCATAGGAATTTGAAAATAGAATGTATCGGCTTTTCAACTCGCACTCTGGTGTGTAAAAATGTCATTTAATATTCAAACAAAACAGCTGCTGTTCTTTTTCTTCCAGACTATTTTCTTTGAGACTATATTACAAGTGGGAGTGGATCACAATTTTTTTAGAAAATGCAAAAGATTAAGAGGAGAGCAATTTTTAATATTAGCATCACAAAAAAAATTATTGCAAGCTGATCTAACTTGTAACTTCAATTTCCAACATTTCAGTTGATGACCACTTATATGCTAAACCTGTGCAAATGGTTAATGTTGCCACCCAGACCAACCCGGACATAGAGGGAATGTCAAGCAATGAGGAATCCCAGGATAGGGGGAACACAAAGAGACGCCTTCTGATGGAAGATGTATATAAAAATGACATGTCCTGCAAATTTTACACAGGTTAATAAACTTTGTTTCATTTGTAAAGATAATTACTACTTTTGATTGAATTAAAAAATTCTCAGAAATATCATTTTAAATGGAAGAGAGATATAGTCTAAGGTTTGGCTGAAAATTAGTATATCTAATATGCATTTTAAATATATTTCTGACTTTGTACATACCTATAATTATTTGAAATCTCATCATGTTACATTTAATAAACTTTGTATCATACTTTATATAATTATATAGTACATCATGTAATCACTATCATTTAAGACCAGTGCTAGTTGTTCTCAGATGCCCTAGTTAATCACATTCTAATAAATAAATAATGTATTTATCCTTGATCCATACAGGTATAACATTGGCAGTTTTTACTATCATCTTCAATGTACTTAAGATTAAGGCATCCTCAATGGTGTACTGGAATAGCACAGAAACAAATGAGCGACATGATTCCAAGGTAATACAATGTCATTACTCTTCTTATCATTATGACCCAAACAAATTTTCTGTGAATCTAATGTGTATTAATTTTAAAAAACCTGTAATGTCTATAAAAAATACACAATTAATTAATACCAACACAAAAAAGCCACAATAATGATTGTATTTATTACTTTCATGTTAACAGACTCCAAGAAGAGGACCTAAACGCTTGCTTTCATTGAAAGAAGAATTCACTCTAACCTTGTTGCGACTACGAAGAGGATTTGACACCAAATCACTCAGTGATATGTTTGCCATTTCTGAAAGTTCAGTAAGCCGAATATTTACTACATGGATGTGTCTCATGAGCATTGACCTTGGCTTTCTCATCAAATGGCCATCCAAAGAACAAATCATGGAAAATTTGCCCAAATGCTTTAAACATTTCAAAAAAACAAGATGCATTATTGACTGCACTGAATTCTTTGTGCAAAAACCCAATCTTCCATCTGCTCAGAGAATAACATATTCATCTTACAAACACCATAATACCTTCAAGTGTTTAGTAGCAATAACTCCATCGGGTTCATTTTGTTTTGTATCTGATTTGTACACTGGTAGTATTTCTGACAAGAAAATAGTACAAGAATCTGGCTTTTTGGATAATATCGAGTTTGGTGATGACATTATGGCGGACCGTGGCTTTCTCATAAGAGGCGATCTAGCATTAAAAGGTGCAACACTAAACATTCCCCCATTTTCTTTTGGAAGACAGATGGGTAGCAATGCCACCACTAAAACGAGAAGGATTGCTCGAGCTCGAATCCATGTAGAACGAGCAATTGGACGTTTGAAAAACTATGCAATTTTGCAAGGTGTTATGACTCTCCAGATGAAGCCTTTGTACAGTCAAATTGTAAAAGTATGTGCAATGTTATGCAACCTTGACTGTCAACTTGTGAAGTAAATCTTATGTGTGTAAATCAGTATAGCACATACATTTGAATAATAAATGACAAAATAATAACAAAGCTTTGATAATTTTACATTTTAATGTTACATGTAACTGACATACAGGGATCTGATTAGTCCTCCTTTCAGAGGAAATCATCCGATTAGCTTAATTTTACAAAAAAGTGAAACACTGAAATAGATCTTATGTGACAAAGCATTTTTCACCAATAACACAGTCTTAATTCTGCCTACCAACTCCATTTTTTCAGGAGGTAACAGTACAGTAGTTACATATATTCTGTAGTAAATTAATAAACGCAGCTTTTTTGCCTAATTTATAATGCAGGTACATAAGCAGTTACTGTTGCATTAAAGATTTAATTACATGTTGTTTAAAAAATGATTCAAGTTTGCTGAGCATCTTCTGGAAGAAATCTGGATTAAAATCAGTATGAGCAACACATATTCCTTTCTTTGTATAAAGTACAAAATTAGATTGATGTATACCATATATACCCATCTGCCCTTGCATCTGATGATAGTATTCTGAGTTTTCAGAAACAACCATCTCACCTCTCTCATTAATAACACAGCCTTTTTTAAGACAAACATTCTTTGGTTCATCGTCCCTGTGTGTAAAAGGACATTTAACCTCAATAATAGTGCTATCATGGCATTTACATGTAAAAAGACCATCAATAGAACAACCGATGAAATTCATGGTTGGATGTATTCTTAAGCCTTTATGTGACAGAAGGGGATGTACATGTGACTTATGACATACTCTCATGTAATGTTGAAGAGCTGCTTTTTCTTTCTTCTTACCCCACACCAATGATGGAGCTGAAATTTCTCCATATTCACCTAAAATAGTCTTTAGAAGTGAAGGTGGACATTTGTTAGAATCAACTGCTTTGCAGACTTTACTAAAATTAGATGCAGTCAATCTGCCTTTCCTCAGCTCATGCCAAATCTTGCAGTCGGATTGCTCACTTGTGCATGATTCAATGTGAGAAATATTATCACTGGAAAGAGTACATAAATTCTCAGAGTTATTGAATTCATTTGCATTACAAGATGCTATTTTCTTTAACATGTTTGGCATGGTAAAAGCAGAACATTCAGGACATTGCTGATCAGCTTCATCTCCCTTGTCATTCTGCACTGGTTTTTGTACCTCCAGAATATCTAAGGCTTGTATATTTGGGGATATCTGGAAGAAATTTAAAAAATGTAAATTGAAAGTTTTAAATAACAAATGAAATGTAAACAAAAAATTAGCACTTTAATTATATGATGCTTTATAATTGTTGTATTAGATAACAATGGTGGGCAATTTCAATTGGTTTTTCAAATCAGATAAAAATACAATGCAAAGACAACACTGAAAAAATAAATACACAGAACATAATTATGGGAAATGGGTTACCTCTCGAAGATTCTTTGCTATTTCACTGATTTCCATTTCTGTGTAAGTTTGTCTCTGATCTACACTGCACGGGTCAAAACTGTGAGCAGCAGACTGGTGATAATCCACACTTGCATACCTTAATTGAAATTTGTGTCAGTCTTGAAATGATTTGTTGTAGGTACATCATCATTTTTTTTTCAATATATTTTTTAAAGTCTTAATTCTTACCATTGATTATAATGGCATAATAAAACTTACTTAATAATATTTGAAGTGCATGTACATATGATAGTATGTAAAGCACAAACAATAGACAAAATATAATACTAATTAACACATTACTCAGTATGTATCCTAATTGTAGTCTCTGTGTCAATTAAATGTTCATTTAAGAATCAATCATTCAGACCTAGAGTTTACTTTTAAGAATAAAAGATTGCAAATTTATCATAACATTCTACAAGAGTCATAAAAGAACAAATACCTAGCTTTCAAGATTTTAAGTTGCTTTATAGGCACTGGGCAATCATGATGTCGTGGTCGTTTTACCCACAAGTTATCTCCATCTGTCACTGACTTGACATCAAAAGCCTCAATTTCATACAGGGTTGCTCCGATGTGGCGACATCCTCCATCAGCTCTACAATAACAGATTGATGTCATTTGTAAGAAAACATCACCCCCCTTACTCAATAAAGTCATCAGTTGCAGTGGTATATATATACACGTACTTGGATTTTTTTTAAACATATAGATAGATGTGTGTATAATGCAGGCTGCATTGAACCTACTTCTGCAAATAAAATTAATTACATGTCACAGGTGTTTTGTGTGGTCATTCACTCATTGAAACCAGCTTACATCCTACTCAGTGTACCTGTCTCACTTATATTTATAAAAGTTTACTTACCCTCCAATGCATGTGCAGTAAGCACAATTTACGCTTCCACTTTTACACATAACCACCCAAACATCATAAGCTGTTTTATTTAGGTAAGTCCTATCCTTCTGCGTAGGTTTCACGAAGGATTTGATAAGGTAATTATCTCCATCTTCAAGTTCTTTCATTTCTAACTTCTCAACATACCCATCAAAGAATAGTCTATAATCTTCACAAGATTTGTACGCTTTTAATTTCCTTTGATCATAATTTGCAGTTTTATATAACAAGTAATTAAACACATCATACAGGGAAAAGGTTGGTAATTTTGTGAGATCGTTAGAAAGTCCTTGGATCTTGAAGGGGTCAACAGAAAACTCGCCGAGAATATCGTATATTGACACTGGATGATCGGCGCACATATCGGGATCATCTGGTAAGTTCAGCTTAACAACTGCCTCACATAGCTTTACCAAGTTCTCTCGTTTCACATTTGAAACAGAAATCCCTTTTCCTCTCAAAATCTCGTGCAGTTCTACCACTTTCAAGGATGTAAACATTGTAGACGACATGTTAACTATAGACGCTTTGTCGGGTATCACGTGACAATGTAAAACTAAACGTTAAAACCATTCCGGGTTCAACGTTTTATGAAAGAGGTCTATTCTTCAGGATACGACTACATAAGCCTATTCAGAACTTAGGGTTTAAAATAATGCCCCCCCCCATTACTCAGCTGCTTAAAAAAATCTAATGCTGCATTTTCTTTTTTGAAAAATAATGTACTGTTCTACATGTAGTGTACGTTACAAACTACAGCAAAGCTCATTTAAACATTTAGATATGAAACCAACCAGCATTCAGCGTTTTAACATTTAATAATTGTTCGGTTATTTATAGGACTTAAAACATTTCTGTTAAGATCATTGTAGTTTGCTTCTGTTCCTTGAAATCATACAATATTTTGTATCCTATTGAGCTGAATATTGTTTTCTTCTTTGCATTCTAATAAATTACACTGACTGATTAATTCACTAAATTCTGTTAACGTCCCTCTCGATAATTTTTCACTCATACGAAAACGTCAGCGTATGTAGGTGAAGGGCTTCTAATTTAGACCTATACTCGGCACTCAGGACCATTGAGGATTCTTTATAACGTCCCGTGTCACGGTACGCTGGTACGATATATCGTACCAGCGCGTACCGTGACACGGGACGTTTTTAAGGTCATATCCGAAAGACCTGTGACTTTCACTTCTGATGCCGAGAGCTTGGCGAAGGAACAGTCACTACATGTACCTATGTTTAAATCTTGGGTTCGATTCGGCGCCGTGAACGAGAATCGAACCCGGGCCTCGCGATCACGAAGCGAACTCTTTACCACTAGGCCACCGTGAACGATATTAATAACTTCGAACTTGTGCATACAATTACAATGCAATATCTATTACTAGTAGTATTATTTGATGTAGCAACTGGAGACACCAATCATCACACTTTTTAGAATATATATCATATTTCATTATATTACAGTTGATTGTGACTTTGAGAAGGATTTGTGTGGATGGAAAGTATTTTATCCCTTAAAACAAAGACATATCGTTTGTCGCTACAGATATGGACTCAATGACCACTGCAAATCGTATTTTATAAATATGGTAAATTTTGAAAGTAAAACATTCAATTCGACTCCCTGGATCAGGATGACAGCAGAGGAAGCAGAAAAAATACCAGAATTAAAAGGTTACCTTCTTTCCTATGCTTCTAATTTATGAAATTTATATTTCAAATGCACACTAATAATTTGTGCAGACTAATTATTATCAGTCATTTTTAAGATCAATATATATTCTGTTTTAATCTTTTTCCATGCAAATTTTTTTGACAAGACAAGTGTTCAAAAACGACTTTTGAATTTTTTTTTCAAAATATGATTTATAGATATGCAAGCACATAAATTTTAAAGACTTGTGTTATGCAGGCTTTACAATGAACACAGTCACGTTCCTAAACCCCTTTCAGTGGTTTGATCATGTCACCACCTACATATATATCAGCTATGAATATTTAGCTACATGTATTCTCAATATTTAGTGTGTTACTTACTAAATTAGTCCTTCAGCTCATAAGGCCTTGTGGCAACGAACTTTCATAGAATTAGGCTTTGAAATTTTTTTTCAAAGTGCGTTAAAAAGTATGAAATCTTTAGATTGTTTAAATTCCATAACCTCCCGTAGATGAGCTTTTATATGAGTTGCTAAATGAAGACGAATACTCGGCTGTACGGGTTGTTACACTGTGACATGAGAGATAGAACTCCCTATCTCTCTCTGTATTATGTGAATAAACTAAAAAAAATTCTTAACTGATTAAGTTGAAATCTTTGTAGGATAAAATGATATCATTTTCCTGAATCAATATCTGGGCCTGTATTGATGCTTGATTATGTGAGTCCTTGAATATGACAACTTATATCATATCAGTACACAGATCATTTCGTTGCCAAATGTACAAACAGACTCTACGATCTACAAATTGGTATGACACAAGTCTCAGAGATTTGATAAAAAAGGATATTATAAAATCATCAAAGTATGAAATCTTTAGATTGTTTAAATTCCATAACCTCCCGTAGATAAGCTTTTATATGAGTTGCTAAATGAAGACGAATACTTTGCTTGAAACATAAAACCATACAGGCAACGTCAATCATTCTATAAAAGGAAATAATAATTTCGTATTATTCCAGGTTTTGATTTTAAGACTGCTGCACTCATATCTTTTGCTAATAATAATAGAGAATTCCCGAGCTGGAATACAAAGACAGGATGTATTCCAAATGATGAGCTTGTTCAAAATCATTATCTGGTGAGCGAGGAGCTTCCAGAAGCTCAAAATACCCAGTGCCTTCATTATTCTTATGAACTTAACGGATATGCTTCACTGACTGTGGCTTACACACCAAGCAGCAGTGATATACACAAAGTCCTGAATACTGACGTAGAAGCAACAAGCATCGGTTTGGCCACCTCCGATAATGCAATCCTTACGTGGGTACATCCGATTTACGATTATGTCCAGAAGATGTCTGTCGATCTTCCAATTAGAGTCAAATCTAAGGTATACAATCAGTTCTTATGGAAGAGTTTTTAATATATATATATTATATGTTTTGTAAGTTTCCATTATATTTGTTCATCATCTTTTGGCTCATTCTAGATCAGGTGATAAAAATTTATTAAACGTAGTTTCTATTTAAATCCTTTTAACATTTTATAAACTTGGTATTCTTAATATTAAAGCATCAATAATAATGATGTAACAGTAATCTTTGATGCTGGATTCTTAAACTTTATTATATCATATATCACTTAGCATTCCAATTATATTTTTCAATATATACTCCCCGTCAACATGGTCAATGAAAACGCAACACTCTAATTTTAGGGTGAAAAGTATAAACGGTATATAACTATGTACCAGAAAAGTTAGGACATCATTTACTTTGCCAAACCAGTTATTGAATGGTTGAATGGTTTTCATTCCCTTACCATATGTTGATTTTTTAGCCCTTTTAACAGATAACATTTAAATAAAACACCCCCCTTCCGACCATTTAATCAAAACATGCTAGTCCGCCATGTACGACATATATATACAGTCCGATTTTTACCATGCATTAGTTTTATCAATGTCTTTATCTGAGCGAAATAAATATTCTTGGGCATTTTTAATTGCCTGTTGTTCAGATTCTGCGGTCGAATTTTCTCTAACATGGCGTAGTGTAGTAAATCTTGGACGTCCGGTGAAGAAACTGTTATTTATGCTATTGAAACACATGAGCCTGATGAGTTGTTAAATAGTGTACATATGCATCTGCAGCTCTTTTTTTCTTTATTTTGAGAATCTCCAGCATTAGCAATGAAAATCAGTCATTTTGAGGAAATATAGGCATCACATCTGGAAAAGGAAGAATGATTTTTTCCTCGGTAATTTAGTACAATAGTTATGATAAACAGCTACAAAACCTTGAAAACCCAAAATATTGTTAAAAATTTTATTAAAAATGCAAAATTTTGATTTCTGTTAAGAGGGCTAAAAACAACTTCCGGTAAAGGAAAGAAATTAATTCAACCGTTAAATAACTGATCTGGCAAAGTAAAAGATGTCCTAACTTTTTTGTAGAGTTGGGTATTGCGAGTGAAAACCATATTGCAATATATTGCAATATTTTAGGTTGAATATTGCAATATATTGCAATATATTGTAGATTAATTATCATTAATATAATTTGAGCAGAAAGGTTTAAATGCTGTCAAGTTCAAAGACTATTTGAATTTATTTATAAATTTTAAAGAGGGCGGGGGATAAGACATAAATCGCACACATAATTATAATAACTTTCTATCAAAAACCAGGTAAAAAATAAAAACAAAATGTACTCATTTGATGTATTTTCAAATTGAAAAAAAAGTTTACGCATAGTATATTCTTTATATGTTTTTTTTTTTCGGGGGGGGGGGGGGGGGGGGCAGTTGTTTTATCGGAATAACATAAAATGTAACTTAATGTTTAAAACAATATATACTATATAGAAAGTTTATGTGGTCACAGAATAAAATTAAAGCCAGAAAAAATTGTGACCTATTTTCGGGCGTTTGGTGTTTTAGTCTGACCCGACCTAATTTCACATTATTTTATGACATACGATCAGGAATGGCATTGGCCTATTTCTATTGTTTTAATATAAATGCTCCTGGTACATGTATAGCATGAAGGTGTTTAAAATGGCATGAAACGTGTTAAAAAATAATAAAAAGCAACACTGTATCAAGTGAAAACATGGATGGCCATTTATTTGTAATATGTATCTTGAACTTAACATTCATCGTCGATCGTGTAGATTCCATGAGATTTTGAGAACCGCAATACACATGGTATACACTCTGTAGAAATGTTTTATGTATTTTCTTTCGTAATAATTTTATTTAAAAGTCTTTTTATTAATTATTAATTTTATTTTAAAGTAAGATGTTTAAAATTGCGACAGTGAATGAAAAGCTTCCCCCTCTCTCTCTTTTCTCTCTATCTGCCTCTGAAAGCTGACGAAGTATTTTTTTACTAAATTGAAAAGGCCTGGGGAAGTTACAAGTATTATTTCAGCAGTTTCTACAATAAAGGAGGTTTTTATATATTTTTTATAGATATCGTGAAATACCGGTATCTGATTTTCATATCGCGATATATTATCGTGGTGGATAATACCGCAATATACCGATATACCGGTAATATTGCACAGCCCTACTTTTTTGTATATAGTTATAACCTTTATATACTTTTCACCCTAAAATTAGAAATGTTGTGTTTTCATTGACGGTGAGTATATAATGTATTCAATATTTAGCTTTCTGGCCCCTTGTGACTCTTAGTTAGATATATTAGATATTTCGATATTTTACTAGAAAATAAATAGACGTAAATGGTGACCTTCCGGTGATAAATGAAAAGGTTTATGATAAGTAATAGCTTAAACATTTCAATCGTCAACTTCCCTTACTCATTCAACAATA